AAATAATTGGAATATCCTACTAATTATTCTCCCTTTATTCATCATATACTAATAAAAACTATTCTCCAAGTTGTCAGAGTGATCCTGTAAAACTAAGATAAATCTTGTCTCCCCTCCACTATCAATACATGGATGGGTCTCCATCACATTCCATGTAAAAGCCAAATTGCATTTTGAAACCTACAGGGCTATAAGCTGTCTGCCTCTCTCTCTCATCCCCATTACCTCTCTGAAACCAGCTCCTGCTTTTCTCTGCTTTGCTCACTCAGCTCCAGACATGATAGCATCCTCCTTGCTCCTCAAACATGCCAGCCTAAACCTGTCTTGGGGCCTCAGCACCTGCTGTCCTTCCATCTGGAATGCTCCTTCCCCAGACAGCTACAGGGTCAGTTCTCCCACTGCCTTCAGGTGAGACTCAAAAGCCAAGTTCTCAGTAAGGCCTTCCCTGGACACCTTATCTATCTAGTTTCAGCCTCCCTCCTGAAATTTTCTATCCCAATTCCTTGCTTTATGTTTTTCTATTTAACACTAGTCACTATGAATATACATTATAATTGCTTATTCATTTTGGCTACTGTCTATCCCCCACACTAAAATGAAAGCTCCATGAGGATAAGAATTTTAGTTTGCTTCTTTCATTCATTATTACATCATCAATATCTGTGCCTAGAAGAATGCCTGGCAGAGAGCCCACCTAAAGTAAGTATTTGTGGGGTAAAGATAAAACAAGTAAATTAAAGAGCAAATGGGATCAAAGCAAGTCAAAGGGGCAGTGTTTCCAGGGTGTAGCCCCAGTCACAAGTGCAAACGCTTCCAGGGAACAACTGTGCATTTTATTAGAGTGAAGCAGGCCAGCTGGGGGTGTGGCCAACTGGAGAGGGCATTCGGAGTCTACACTGGACTGGGACCTACCTAAGGCCCAGCTGCATGTATCCTTGTTGGAATGAGGGCCCCAATCCTCACGTTTTTGTTGTTGTTGTTGTTGTTGTTGTTTGTTGTTCTGTTTCACTTTCAGGAGATGCCAGAAACATAAATTTTCATTGTGTGAAATCTCTCAAATGTCTAAAGTACTTAATTAAAAACAGAAAACAATGAAAACACAAAGATGAAACAAAATCTGGCAGCTGACTGAGATCGGTCCCTGGGCAGTCAGCTGGTATTTGTTGGACTGAATTGTGTGATGTATACATGAAAATTAATCCCTGCTACGGTGAGGTAGGCTTGCCTTGTGTAATTCTTGAGGCAGTCAGCCTCAGGCCATGTTGGGTGCAGAGAATAAACTCTATTTACCATCTTCTTTCAACTCCTGGCAACTCCTTGCATCTCCCACTATGCATGGAGTTAGGGTAACCTGGGCAGCAGGGGTCACCAGCACTCTTTCTTTGGGGTCAGAGGTATAATTTAGTGAAGGGTGTGGTTGCAGAAACTAGTGAGAGGGTTTTCAGATGGGTTACAGGAGAAAGACTGGGGAAAGGCAAGGAGGGGAGGAAGAGAAATACACAGATCTATCTTTGCATCAGACACCATAGTTCTGAGGGACTTTTAGTGGGTTGCTGCTCCCTCTCCCCACCAACCTTGACACTTCCTTGTGACACTGTACAGCTGAATGAGTTATACCAAGTCACAACTTCCAGCCCAACTGCCCCATGGCATCTGCCTCACCTGGAGCACTCTTTCTTTGGGGTCAGGGCAATTTAGTGAAGGGAAAGGTTGTGAGAAACTAGTGAGAGGGTTTTTCTGATGGGCTACAGGAGAAAGACTGGGGAAAGGCAATAGGTGGAGGAAGAGAATATGCAGAGATCTATCTCTTGCAAATTGACACTATAGTTCTGAGGGAATTTTTAGTGGGTTGCTGCCTCTCTCCCCACCAACCTTTGACACTTCCTTTTGTGACACTGTACAGCTGAATGAGTTAGGCCAAGTCATAACTTGTAGCCCAACTGCCCCATGGCATCTGCCTCACCTGGTAACAAAGAGATTCACAGACTTCTATCACAGATTTCTGTGAGCTTGGGTGGCAAAGAATGCCAACAGGAAACAGTGAGAGGGGTATGCAGACACCAGCTTTGTGGGGAAGGTCTAACCAGAATGTGGACTATTGTGGACAGCAGGCCTCTTTTAGTGGATTATTGGTCGGAACCACCTGTGTTTCAGGCAGCTGCTGAAAGAAGCGGACAGTGAGGCACTTTACAACCTAGAGAGAGAAACACTAGGTTTCAATCTTCTGATAATTTCTGGTCTCTAGATAGAAAACAAACATTCCAGCAGAGAAGGAACTGGTGTGATGAGACTGCTGCACCTGAGTTCAGTAAGGTTCCATTTTTTCCTGATAAAGTATTTTCAAATGCATATGTTGTAAAATATCTCTCTTAAGTTCTGAGAGCCCTACCTAACCCATACTCTACCAAGATTGTATATCTAGTGCAGGACAAATGTGAGAGGTAGCCCACACTCCAGCACACATGTGCAAATTACATTAGTGTGTTTAGGCTGAGGGCTGGGGTTCTGCTGTAGCAGCTGTCCTGAACTCCCTGGAAACAGGAAAAAGTCAAAGGGTATAAACTTTGTCTTGAGATTATCCTGACTGAGTCATCCCTGTCAGTGAATGCCATTCTAGGGAGCCTAATGCATCTGGCATCTTTGACAGATGCCACTTTGTGCTAGGAGCTGTGAAGAGTAATGTAGACACTCATCAGAAGTCCAACATTTTCCCTTGGCCTTCCCATCTCATGGGCCTCTACACCCCACACAATCCTTTTCCTGTATTCCCTACTCCCTTCGTCAGTCTTTTCTTCTTTAATTCTCCATCCTCAGTGGCCCTTCTTCTAACTGCTCTAACACCGCAACCTTACATAGCTTCTTCCTTTGTGTATCCTTTTAGCTCTCTCTCAGATTCCTTCTGTAGTCAGGTTGACCCTCTCCTCTTACTCTGGATCTCCTTCTAAGCTTCTTTTGTGTTCCTCTCTCTACTCAATTTTATTCTGTGTATTTTCCTCTGCTTCACAAGATCTCTGACATCTGTTCCTTCCTTTCATGCCCCATTCACTCACAAACACACCCGATTCTTCTACCAAGATAAAGCGCTTTACATGACAGCATGTCATGTACACACACGAGTTTGTGAAGGCTTTTAGGCAAACAACAGCAATGCTGTAAGATGTTAAGTTATCAGGGATTCCATAAGCTTTCAATACACTGAAAGGCAACATTTTTTGCATGTCTACAAATTCATACATTTGTTTCACACATGTGCCACCCCACTTAACAGTTAGGACTTTTTCACCAAATCATAGACATAGATATGGAAATCATCATCAAACTGATGAAATACACAGAGGGTTTGGCTTCCACTTGGTGAAATGACCATGCCGATCCTTTTGGAGCCATCTTCTTTGGTATATTCCACATGCTTACCTATCAGGCCATCTACAACTCCTCCTTGGCTCCTCTCTCTGTTGGAGGAGACTCCATTGATTCTGGCATGATGCGGAGGTCACCTTCCTTATAATCATCATCTAGAAGCTGGTACATGTACAAGACAGGATCTTCTCATAGTAATATAAAAACCAGGTATCATGATAGGTGCTTGAGCTAAGACCATGCCCTCCATTCATCCCCAGAATCCATGCTCTCCTCAAACATGTGTTCCACTGCTTTGCCAATTATGGTATTTGCAAGGTTGGCATCACTAACGTGAGATGATGCCACCCTGTCAGAAAGAATTTTAAGAGACAAAACTCTTTCATCTCTGTGAAGTTCCAGTCCATAGACACAGTCAATTCCATCATATTTCACCAGATAAAGAGAGGGATTTATAGGCACCTGATCCAGAACGGTTCCTTTCCACTGGGTGATGGGCTCATCTCCTTCTTTCCATCCATGAGAAATTCTGCATCCCACGATGTTCCTGCGGGGCTGGGATGAAGGTCTGCCTCTCTGCTTCTTTTGGGAGACTTTTTTCTTTGTCATGTTTGCAGACCCAGTGGCCCGTCCTGCAGCTGCCCTGGTTTGTTGCCCTTGGGCTTCCTGTGCGTTGGGGGTCTTCATGCCTGCTGGGGGAGGAGAGAGGATAGAGAGACATATCCAGTGTGCCACGAGGCAAACTTTTCCCTATAGCCATGTCTGGATATACTCGGCGCTAGTGCCTAAAGTTTCCCCTAGGAGCCTGGAAGCAATGCTGGAAATCTGGCTGCATGCCTGCAGTGCTCTCCCTCTTAAGTTCCTTTGGGCTGTGGGGAAAGGCTGGAGTGGTGCAGTAGAGCTGTCTGGGGTTAGGAACTCTGCAGAAGTGACTGGGCCACGTCCTCCTAGCTCAGAGCCCACTGCCCTCCCCGAACCCCTTGCTGCCACTGGAGTCCACTCCCAATCCCCTGCAAAGCGGCCTTGACCGGCACCCACTGACCTCCTTCCCTGAGTGTCCCAGCTGCTGTCCAGAACAAACCCTGCCTACCCTAACCACTTCCCTGATACCCACCGCCCTTGCTTCCCGGCGCTCACCTTCAAATCCTTGTCTGGCTCCCGTTCTTACCCCCTTTTCATGTAGCTCACCGCACTCCCCCACCCGACCTTTGCCTGGCGCCCACCTCCACCCCAGGTCTCCTGCTGGATTCCTTCCCATCCCCCTCTCCATTCTGGCGCCCACTAATGGCCTTGCCCTGCCTGGCGTCCACCGCCGCGGATCGCGGGCCTCACGTGCCCAAATCGGACACCTCGCTGCTGCCTCCGCTATGAGCCTGTGGCGAAGGAGGGTCAGCAGGCGACCGGCCGAGTGAATGCTTGCAAGAGCTGGGAGGGTAGGATCCGTAGATGAGCGTGTCTAGGAGGGCGGCAAGGCAGGTAAAGAGGACTGCAGCGGCGTTGCCACCGCTTGGCTGACTAGCCCTCCGCCTCCCTGCTGGCGGTGGCGGCCCCTCAGCCACATCAGGATTCCACCAGTCCCTGCTGTCGCCGCCGCAGTCTCCTCCCTCTTTCCGTAGCGCAGCTTCCTGCCCAGAGAGAGGCCTCCTCTTCCTGCCAAACACCGCGCCCTCCTCTCCACCAGGCTCCCACGCCCACCACACAGCCTGGAGCCCTGGCGGAGCTATAGACTCTGACTCCGCCTCTTCCCAAATTCAGAGTAGTTGGTGCCACAGTAGTCCTCGGAACCCTGTGGCCCCTTCATCACCCGTTTCAGGGCCCCTTGATTCCCACCCCCACCTTCTTAGTCCCCCTGCCCTATCTGCTTTCCATCTTCTTGGAATTCGCCTTGCCGCCGCCCCGCGCCCACACCGCTCCCCCACCCCGCCCCACGCCCAGTCCCTTGCCCTTATGGATTTATTCTTTACACCTAAATATGTCTTTCCTCTTTTTGAAAGGATTTGGAGTTGGAACAGAGAAATTCACTATGGTAAGTCTGCCGTTTTGACCCAGTCTCTACCTAATTTTTCCTGTCTGATCTTCCCTGACTTTTTTGTTTTTGTTTTTGAGGGATTTTTTTCCTTTTCTTTATTGCAAGATAAGTGCATGTACAATGTGAGCACTATCTAAATTTTGGGAAATTAATATTAAGAGGAAAATCATCAACTGCAGTCGTATCTCCCATTTTTGAGGGCCTCACAGCAAAATATTAATGCTCATAGGTTTTTCCCCCCCCTTTTTCCTAAACTTTTGCAAAACTGAGATTGTTTTTTTTCTGTAATTTCATGTCTATTAATTTTTCCAGGAAATTAGATGCTTTCTAATCGATTTTTTCATTCAACAAATATTTGTTGAGCACCTGTTGCATATCTTGTGCTTGGTCCATAAAACTCAACTTTAAAGTGATTTATAATTTGGCTTTTCCCCCAGTACTGGACATTTGACATAATGTTTCTACAATAATGAGTAATCAGATCTATGTATCGGAATAGAAAGCTTTGCAAAAAATAACTTCCTAAGAAATAATTAGATAAAAGTTATAGTTTTATAAATCACTGGGGAAACATTGGGTATTCTTTAAGGACTGTTAAAATGACTCTTTAAATATTTTGAGAAAGGTTGTATACTAATGTTGTACCAATATCAATATTTGATTTATTAAAAGGTAAAAAGCAGCCAAATAAAATTGACCAGAAAGCAAATGAACCAACCAAAAACTCTGTAAACAAAACATTGCTTAATAGTATCTTTCTTCTTCAGATACTTATGGTATTTGAATGAGGGGATGAGTCGGATGTTAACAGACCAACTACAGTTAGTAAAATAACGTCTACAAGGAAAAATAGAAATAATAATCTTGATTCAACAAAGTATGAAAGAACATTAAAATGTTACTTAATGTCATTGATCATGAAAAAAGGGGTTCATATCTAGTGCTGATGCAAGTGAAAGTTTATACAATTTTTATGGGAAGCAATTTGCATATATGTTGTAGTTTCAGTGAGGGCTTTTTAAAAGTTATGGTTAACTCTTACTCCTAGGATTTCAATCCTGGAATTTCAATGAAAAGTAAGAGGTTAGGGAGTTACCAAGGTTCTGGACTCCAGATTCTGTATTCATAGATTTAACAAGCAGTCACAAGTTCTGTTGAGCATCTAAGTCTTTCAGTGGTTCTCTCTAGAATGGGTAAACTTTCCCAGTAGAAAAACATCCACCAAATGCCCTGTTTGCCTCTTGGATCTGTTCTCCTTCTATCTCAGCTAGATAATTATTTCGTAATTCTCAGCTTTTAGAAGCCATTGAGAGCGGATTTTCTTTTTTACTATATTTGTTCAGATTTACTCAATTTGTTCACATTTTAGGGAAAGTTGTTTTGAACTGTTTAGTCTCCTATTACTAAAATCTCAAACCCTATTTTTTATTATAAAATATATGTGTTCATCCTTAGGATGTATACATTAAATAGGCACAGCTTTGTGACTCAATTGTGGTTTGAAAAAGAAAAAAATGTGTTTAACTATTTGTAATGACTCCAAACTAAAAAACACCTACATTTCCGTCAACCATATACTAGATATGTTGGGGTATATTCATACATTGGAATATCATGCAGTAGTGAGAATATTCAAGCTACAACTACATGGAAAAACATGAATGAATCTCTCAAATATGTTGAAAAAAGAAGCCAGACAACAAAGGGGCACACATTATTCTATTCAATTTATTTAAAGTTCAAAAACAATCATTAACTAATCTGTTGTCTAAAAAGTTAAAGTAGCAGTTATTCTTGCAAAGATATTTTCCAAATAGACAGCAATTCATACTCTATCAGTAGCTGATCAAAGTAAAAATTAGAGAAATATTTGGACATGTATATATAGCAGGAAAGGTTTATATAGATGCTGAGCTGCAAAAATATATTTAATTGTAATAGACATCAATTGATACTGTAGCCTAGCATCTTATCACCGTTCTTCTGGTAATGGTGCCACAATTTTCCTCTTGGGAACAACATAAGCCTGACTTTTCAGGGTATGGAATTACTGTTGCAATGATTAGTTTAGGAATAAGCATCCAACCTAGTCAAAGCCAATGAGACACAAACTCCTAGGCATGTGGCAGTTTCCATTGGAAGAGAGTGAACCCGAAAGGATATGAGGATTAAGCTGCTCGATTCACTTTACTATCATCAATAGATTGAGAATGAAGGTACCCCAAAGAACAGAATGGAGCCAGCCTATGCAAAAAGAGGGAGACTGTCCTAGTGACACATTCTGTACATGTAGGTAGTTATGGCCACTGACTGACTTTTGAATATTCATCTCACTCTAGAAGATTAGTCTAAGCTAGTCATGGTGATGCCATTCTTCCTGTAAGTGATTGATTTGGCATTGGGCATGTGATCTAATCCTGGTCAATTAAGCATCATAGTATATCTGCTGGAAGACTTCTGAAAAAATTTCTTTACTCTTAAGAAAAGAAACAGGAAATAATGTTCCCTTTTCTTTTTTAGGATGATGCTATATCTTTATATGACCTTTGGAATATCTGTAATCATCCTGAGGGCAAAACTTACGTAATGAAGATGGAAGAAGAGAGAATAGGAATACTCTGTGCGCTTTGATCTTATCGTTTTGCTGCTGATCATACCATCCCTGGAGTCCTACTTCTGACTCCAAGTTATGAGGTAACAAGTTTCTTTATAGTTAAAGCAATTTGAATCTGGGTTTTCTGTTACTTACAGTTGAAGGCATCTTAAATGGCTTAGCGTTCCCAGACTTAAATTATATAGTATCCCTAGACAATACCGTTATACTTTTAAGTTATATGAAACAATACGTTCTCAGGCACTCATTCATCCAACCAGCTCCCATATCAGGAAATGGGACATTACTTCCAGACTTAAAAAATCCAGTATTCAGTTGCAAATAAGGAATAAGGAGCTATCTAAAAAACAAGCATGAGGTAAAAAGGCATCATTCTCATTTGCACTACACGAAAAAATATACCAGGATTAGCAAATAACTCCCTAAATAAACGCTATCAACAAAGTGATGAGCCTCTTATATTTCCCTCAAAGGAAGAGGTAGGCTTCCGGACTCCAGTCTGTCCACCTCACATGTATTATTTTCCATATACTTTAGATTTCTCTGTCTTAAAGAGGTGATCCTGATATTCAATCTTGTGAGAGTAAAAAATAGCATTCTAATCACTTATTTTTAAATTTCATGCATTAACATTAGTTAAGACTATCTTTCAAAATTACCAAAAATTAATATGGTTTACTGCGATCTTTTTAACAATGAAAAGATCTATGATGAATGAAATAGACCTTTCTCTATCTCATTTCCTTTTTCTCCTTGCCACCTCTCAGGACATCCCAGTGTTCTCACGTTCCATCTTCAGTCACACTTCACCAGTGTTAAATCCCTGGTATATGTTCTTCCAAACCATTTTGTATGATACTACAACAATATATAAATATAAACGTAAACATCGGAATTTGGAAGTCCTTCTCACTTTTTAACATAAGTGGGATCATACTCTTTACGTTTGTGTGCAACGACACATCTATATATATTTCTAAAACATCTTCTTTATAATTGTATACTATTTCAAGTGATACATAAACACAATGTATTCAACAGTTCTGGTATTGATAGACATTCAAGATTTTCCCCCAGCTATTTTTGCTGTTTCAAACAATGCTGCGATAACAGGTGAATGCAATCCAATTGTGACATTTCTCATTCCATCTATTTTGAGGGTTGATGGTGCCTATTTTGCTGATGAGGTAGGTATCTTTGTCTTCTCTCAATGTTGCCACATTCTTCCTTCTTAATGTTACCTGTCCTGATATAAAAGAACCTTTCCAGATAAAGAAGACTATCTTTTATTTAAGAATATATGTGTGCTTTGTCTGGCCTTCCCCCAGTATTTATAAATTTTTAGCAACCTTCCAAGAAGTTATTGAATCAAAAAGAAAATAAGAAAAAATTAACAACAGAGAACTTGAGAAATGATAGCAATGAGGACACAACATATTAAAATGTGCCCGTTACAGCCAGCACTCTATTCAAAGATAAATTTATAGTAACGACTATTTCCCTTAAAAATTAGCCAGAAATTATCATTATAGATAGCCATGGAAACTTAAAGGAAGTAACTAAAATATGCAGAGACTGATGAAGTGAAAAAATGGAAAATTAGTAGAATATATAGCAAAACCTATGTCTAAGTTTTGTGAAAAAATAAAACGATAGGAAAGAAAACTGGCAATACAGAAAAAAGGACCAATAAATGCAAAGGGGATTTATAATAGGTTATTTGAAAATATAAAATTGTCATGCAATAATTCACTTGCTCCACAATGTTTATAGAGTGTCTCCTATGTTCCAGACCCTTTCATAGGCACTGCATTACTAGAATGAATTAGATAGACAAGATTCCTGCATTCAAAGTTTTTATTCTAGTGGAGTAAGACAGAAAATAAACAATCTAAAAGACAAGTTCACATAGTGATAAGTACTACAGAGCAAGAAACACAAGGTTATGGGGTAGAAGGAGAGAATCTCTGAACAGGTGATATTTGAGTCAAGACCTGAATATGAGAAGCAACCACTTATGAAAAGTTATGAAAATCTCTGGGGGTAAGAAATAGCTCTAGCATGAAGACTTTGAAGTGGAAACAAGCTTGTTACCTTTGAGAATAGAAAAATGTTAGTATGGCTGTAATATGTAGTGAAAAGGAGACCATATTTGAATCACAAAAGAGTGAGATCATCTAGAGCACTGCTTCTTCATTCTTATTTCATTATTATCCCCTCCCCACTAGATGGCTTTATAAGGATTTTCTTCTTTTTCCTAATTGTCTACTCATGAAATTTGAATACCAATGATGTACTGTATAATCTAGTCAATGAGTGCATGTATATCTGTATTTTATACATAATCAACCTGTATGCAGGATTAAGTATGAATAAAATTTGAAGGTAGTAGTTAAATTAAAAATTAAAAAGCTAGCAATATCTAACTTAACTGTGTAAGTGTATTTGCTAAGTGACTTTTAATGGAATGTATTTACTTACATAAATTATAATGTGTCAAAGTATGTATGCAAATTGGCAGTTTATATAAATATATAATAGTGATGTAATCACATTTAAAAAATTATTCACGACATTTTTCTAGAAAAGGTGAAACAATGGAAAACATTAAATTAATTTCTTCAAAGTTATTTTTGTGAATTTAACTTTTCACTTTTGCTTGATATGACAAAATCAGTTGTAACTAGCAGCTAGATATTCATATATTATCATTTTTTCTTTTTAGTACTTGACAGAAATAATGATGGGTTAAATAACTTCTGTAAAGTTAAATATTAACTATTTTTATTTAATTCTCAAAGCCCAAGTCACATACCAGGCACCGAGGATCAAACGTAGTCACTCAGTGGCAGCCAGTAGGTACACAAAAGCCACTTCTTGACATACGACTTCAAGAATGAGCAATAGATTGAAAGTCCTACAATCAAAGTCATCTATTTGCTATGATTTTGTAGTGCTGGTCTTGCCTACATTTCATGTATCTTCCATGAGCTCAATGGCAATGTTCCTGTGATATCGAAGAAAACAAGAGTGATTAAGTTCTAAAGTATAAGATTTTGTCAAATACAGTTGAGCTTTGGAGGACACAAACCATTGTAAAACTTCATATCTTTCCACTTCTCACACCAACAATCATATTTCCCCTTTTGGGGGCAATATCATTCTGTTTGAGAATGCATGATCTAGCGCTTGCAGAATAAGGCATGAAGATTGTTTTGTATATTAACTGCAATAAGAAACCTTTGGAGCATTCTAAGCAGGAGGGTGGCATAATCTGGTTTACATTTTTAAAATATAGTTCGGGGCTATTTATGTGGAGAGTTAAAATGCAGGTGAGAAGATCTTAGTTTCCAACAGCCAAATTTATCGAACTTAAGGCCTTATCTTGTTTTTAAAATCTTTTAGTTACTGAGACAGCACCCCTCTCCTTCCATGTTGCCAAAGCATCAGGTTATGTGCTTACTACTGTTGTTTGCAGTTCTTTCTTAATTGTTGGTCCCTGTGGACTTCCCTCACAATATTTAAAGCTCAGCTATACATTTAAAAGGAGGTCTGTCATATTTCATTCAACATTTTAAAGTTTAGCGATTTTTAGCGAAAGAGTTTTCATGTGCCCACTGTTTAGTTTCTTTTAGATTAGTGGTTTTAATTAGCCACTCCTGTGGTCAATCAGTGGTATAGTTTACTTCCTTCAAGACAGAGGCAAGAAGATTTTAGGGGAGTCAGTGGAATCATGCTCCCACTTCATGAGGCCCCTCTTTAATATGTGCTATTACTTATTTAAACTAGCGAGCTCAGCAATTTATAGTTTATTTCAGATGCCTCCGAAATTGATTTTTAAAAGGACATTAAAGCCACACTGAAAATATCTAACCTCTAACTACAATACATTGCAAATTATTCTCAGGTATATTGTGCAACATATTAACTGCATAAAATTAAAAAATTCCATTTTGTTTCTATGAAGTACTGTGTATAGCATTTGCCAAATAGCACCCTAATTCCCCTGGCTGCATGTCTCTCAAAGGCTTTCCTAATTGGTGAGTATGAGAGGAGTTGGACATGTGAAAAACCATTTTATTTATCTCTTGGGTTTATTTCTTTTGGGCAGAAGAGACACTCTAATGCATTCTCAAACATAGGATAAGCTTTGCGGCCGTATCAAAGAAGTCCATCATTATCCAGTTGTGCTTGTGTTTGGGTGAAATATTAGGAAGTCCTTGAAGCCCCCTATCTAACCATGTCCTCCAGTTCAGCTTTTATTAAATACCAAGGGGATATTTTGACTTCCAAATGTGTCATTATGGTGCTGTTCTCTCAAATGGTTGCAAACTTACAAAGAGTAAAGATTTTTCATTCTTAGTCCTCTGAAACATTAACTGTACATAACTGTAACGTTTTCTTGAGATGTGGTACAATTTCAATCTGAAAGAGAAAGCAAAAATGTTACAGATATGCTTGAACCGATCATTACCTACCAAAAATAAATATAGGAAATGATTTACTGGGAAATGTACTGTAATCTCTGAGAGGAAAGAAAAACTCTTGGAATTTCACAGTGTCAACTTCCATCTATGTCCAGTAGTGACCTAAGGAAAAGAGTTGGAGGATTCTGACAATATCTCTTTTACTGTGATGAGTGCACAAACCAAGACTGATTAATTGTGTGTGATCCCATCACTGATCATTAATATGAAACTCTCTTACATTTTAACTCATGTATTCTCAGTACCTATAATAGCACATGGGCTTGGGGAATGGGAAATGGGAGGTGATATATGTAATGAATTTTGAACAAATCTACTGAAGTATAAACATCTGTTCTTTATCCAAACAGAATACAGGTTTAAGCCCTGTCTGAATACTAAGAACTTTTGAACAGCCGTACATTAAATTTTTCACTAACAGTTTTAAATCTGTGACAAACTCCCTTTGTTGGCCTGTTGCCAAAATAACATATCAGTGGTTTCCAATATAATGGCTATGGGAGTTATCCAGAGCGGGGAGGCCGAAAACAACCATTTATCAGTGAATTCCTGGGTCAGTTTCTCATTTTCTAGAGATCACTTCCTTAGTGTTCTATACCCAATCTAGTCATTGAGTATAGAGCCCAACTCTGTCATCCATGGTTTTCACTGGGAATTTGTTTCTCTTAAGAAGATCTTCAAAAGAAGATCAGAAAACATGGTGTAGTCCTTGACTCATATTTATCTTGCACTGCACAGCATTGTCAAATAGGAAAACATGCAGGGTATACCTGAAAACGCCAGATCTAACTAATTTTCACCATATCTACTACCACCAGGATACTGAAACCCACC